GTTTAATATTAAAACCTGGATTAAAGTTGTGAGCAACCTGTCAAAGTAAAGTTATGAAGCATTTATCAAAAACTATGAGCAAAAATAAAGATGAAGATTTTGATACTGTTAGTGAAATATTCATTCAAAATAAAAAAGAGGGTGTAAATACACATTTTACAGCTTCTGTAGTATCTCCTATTATCGTTAAAAGATTGCATAAGTTAGGTAAAGTCAGAGAAACTAAACGAAAATTGGCAGCATTAACAACCTCCATGAAAAAAAATTAGTCTCTTCCCTTAATATACCAGCTGAAAGTTTTGAAGAACTTTCAAGTTTTGTATCAAAGAGTACAATTTTAGTACTAATCGTAACCCTGACTTGTTCAATAACATACAGTCTTCTCCGTTTAAAATTTTGCAAAAATTTTGGCGAAAAATAAAAAGCGCTTGCCAAAAAACTATAAGCATTTTATTTTAAATTACAAAACTTTTTTATTTGTTTGTATTACTTATATGAAAAATTGCTTTTTTTTAATAGTATTTTTTAAAGTTATTTTATCTATTACTTATTCAAAGTATTCTTTTTGCTATTTTTATTTTAATTTAAATAGCGATTTAAAAAATGAGTTTTTTAAATTGCGTAGACTAACTTTAAAATAACCATACTGTCAGCGCTTTTTCGTGCGCTTGCATTAAATATCAAATAGAGAAGATTGAACATTATGGCATTGCTAGGCTACAGCAAAATCTAAAAAAAATTCAACTGACAACGCTACGCTTGCTTCAAGTAACTGGTCAATAAAAAATTTCTGAAACATTTCATGTAACAAACTATGTTGCTTGAACTGCACGTCAATTAGCATTAATGAAAGGTATTTAAGTCATACCTAATCTTAAATTAAAAATAGCTTTTCTAAATGTTACATCTCAACAGGTAAATTTTTTTTATATTAAGATGATGAGTATAGCCGTATAATGACAGGTAAAAAGGACTAAGTAAGCATAAAGAAAAATGTTCACATTCAAAAACGTTTGGTCTTATGTAGTTTAAAAGGTTTGTTTGTTGTTTTGAAAACTATGAATCCAGAAATAAAAATTAGGTTTTTAAGGTTTTGCATATTTAAACCAAAATGGTGTATTACTGCTGGTACTTAAGAAACACATTCAGTAAGCGTCTGTGCTAATCATTGGAATTTAAAACTGCTTTTACATTCTCTTGGTGTGACATACAGAGAACTGTTACCTTATATTGAATGTAACATAATAAATAAAGTCTGTATGATGCGTAAGTGTAAAAGATGCCCAGCAACTATGATTGCATTGGTGGAAAGACTTTATAATTTAAATGAAGAGTTTAAAGATGAAGATGATGTAGAATTTGATCAGTGGACAACAACAGATAGGTCAAATTTAACACATAATAAAGAGCCAGTGTCTGAATACATTGAAATAGTATGTAAAAAACTGACAAAACTTGCACCACACTCGTATTTAACGGAGTCATGTATCATACCTGAGATCAAGAAAGGAAGATATGATTGAGTTACCAGCATTATTTCTGGGTGCTTTTCCAGAAAACTTTAACTTTTAGTTCAGGATGAAGTACAAAGCTTTCATTGGACAAATTTACAATGAACACCTTATCCTGTATTTATTGAAAAAGGTTTTCTTAATCTTATTGCATTGTTTCAGATGATATGATGAATGATGAGGACATAGTGTATAACATTATTGATGTTGTCAACAATGATATTAAAGCAAATCTACCTCTAATAGAAAAAATGAATACTTTATAGATGGGTGTGCTGGTCGATATACGAATTGTAAAAATATTTGTAATCTTTGTTTCAACCTTGAAGATTTTAGTCTTTCTGCTAAATCGATCTTTTTTGCTACTAGTCACGGTAAGCAACTTTGTGATGGGATAAGTGGTACAGTTAAACGTTTAGCAACACTAGCAAACTTGCAAAGAGATAGCGGTAATCATTTTTTATCTCCACAAGCGATGTACAAATATTGCAATGAAAACGTTAAAGGTGTACTTATCATTTATATAACATCAAAAGATTCAACTTTGGAGAGAAACACTTTTAAGAAACAATTAGATACTGCAAATACCATACATGGAACACTTTGTTACCATCAGTTTGTATCACTTAGCCATCAAAAGGGTAATATATATATATATATATATATATATATATATATATATATATATATATATATATATATATATATATATATATATATATATATATATAAATATATATATATGTACATATATATATATATGTATATATATATATATATATATATATATATATATATATATATATATATATATATGTATATATATATATATATATATATATATATATATATATATATATATATATATATATATATATATATATATATATATATATATATATATATATATATATATATATATATATATATATATATATAATATACCTTTTGTTATCTAAAAAAAATGCATAACTTTTATTGATGAACACTTATTAATTTGGAATCATCGTTAAAAATTTTTTTTTTTATTTTGACTTACAATTTTCTTTTAATGCCTTTAATAAAACATTTTTAACTAAATAATTAAAACGGAATAAATGCACATGTTTCTTTTTTTTCTAAATAGACTTCAATGTTGATGAAGATTTTGTTTCATTCATGATTTTGGAAACATCCATGTAACAACTGTATTCTTAGTACCAGGTAATTATGCCTGTGTTTTCTATGAGAAAAAGTGATGGATAGGAGTCATTTAAGACATTAATCTAGAAGAAGAAGATGTGCTTTTCAAATTTATGCGTCCAAATGGTCCTGCAAGGTCGTATAAATGGCCACCAGTGGATAGCCAATGCTGGATTCCAGATGTCCACATCATTTGCAAAGTTGTAGTACCGACTACAAAAATAGGGTTTTGACACTATTTAGCCAAGACGACTTGAAAAAATTGTTTCCCTTAGGAAACAGAAATTTTTATATTTAAAACAATTTCAAGTTTGCTGAGTCTGATATGTCTTATCCATACTTTATTTTAATTATATATTTTTTGAACTATTTATAAATAATCTGAATGAAAAAAAGCATAAATGAAATTACTTAAATTGAGTATTTTTTTTTCAGAAGGTTTTTTTATACCTTTTAATTTTGTTATAAAAAATTAATAAAAAAAATAAAGTTACTAAACTGTTCATTTCTAATTGGATTAAATTGTAAAAAGTTGGGATAGTTTGCCTGATGTTTAAAATACCACAAAATTTTGTGTTCATATAAAACCTCAATAACTCCTCAAGTAAACGAAAGGCCAAAAAGAAAAAGTAAGAAAAAGAAATTGGTTGTAAAGTTGATATACACTACATTTTAGTCACTTCCCCCCCCCCCCTCCCGTCATTTTTTTGTCAAAATCAAACAAACTTCAAGTTGCTTAAAATCCTAAATATATTTTTTAAAAAAAATATATTTAAAAAAAAAATATATTTTTAAAAAAAATTTAAGTCAGTCTATCCTAAGTAATGTCTCAAAACATTTGTGCTGAATTTCATAAAATTTGGAAATGCAGGGTGCAGAATTGTTTTTTCTTGTGTTTTTTGAAAATTTTTTACCCAGTTATCATTGTGCATTTTTACACACTTTTATTTCTTTCATATATATTTTATAACACAAACATATAAATGAGTATAAATATATAAAAAATAATATAAAGAATATTTAGACTTAAAATAATTAAAATAAACTTAAAGCAATATCGATGCATTTATTTTGAAAAAAAGAAAAGAAATAACATGTAACCAACTGTTTTTTCAAAAATGCTCTCATAATGTATTTGTGTATTTTTTTTCTTTCTATGAGATTCTGCGCATAAGGAGACATGACGAACTATTAAGTACGCGCACGCACCAAATCTCGTGGTCAAAAGTATAAACAGAAAAATTAAAAGGCCAACCCTACAAAATCTTCTTTATTATTTAAAATTGCTTATCTCTCATCTCAAAATTGCGTGTTAAATTGTGTGTTAATTTAGAGAAGCTGTGTCGCTGCATAAAATTTAATTAAAAAAGGCTGTTAGTGTTAATTGATAAGTTTTTTTAATAATTTTAAACATTCCATATCTTTGTCTTTATATCAATCTTTATTACATATTTTTCTTTCAATTTTAAAAAAATTTTAGGTAATTTTTGTTAAAATACCTAAAATTAGGATAATTTTTTAATTACGATATTTTACATAATTTAAGACGCGTTAAATCCGGTGTTATTTTATTATATCAAAGAAACCTCTGGATATGACAGGATATACTTTTTAAAAAAACATCTTTGACATACAGATAGGGTAGTGGGTCCGGGAGAGTCGTTTCAATGTATTCTGGTCTCTTTTTTTTGATTTTTGACTGATCCTGGAGAAATTTTTCCTTCGCAACATTAAAAATTGCGCACTCATATGTAGGTTGCGTTTTTGTAAAAACGGAAGTATATACTATAGAAAATTCATAAAATTCTGGAAAAGCAGCTTATTTTAAAACCTTTTTTAATTTGTTTTATAGTTTTATAGTCACTAAAACAGATACATATAGGATAATGTTGGTCAGCCATCAATTGGTTGTTACAGTGGTTTCTCTAATTGTTTTGATTTTCTCGAAGCAAACAATGCACACTTTTCTTTTCAATTTTCCCTGTGACTTAATGTTTGAGTGGACATCCTTAAAGTATTAGTGGCAGGAAATATCTACTTTTTTTGCTTAATCCTCATACTAAAAAGTTTGACATAAATTTAATTTTTGCACTGTTTAATACTTTAAATAACGGTGAGGTCTGAAAATAAATAATATTCTTACTTCTAATGTTTGTAATTATTCCTAGACTATGACATATTCTATTAAATATTGTATTGTTAATGTAATTTTTGTATTATTATATGTATATATATATAAAAAATTCACTTTTAGTGTTTTTCCAAAAACTCTTTTTTTAATCTGAGTATTGAATTTCTTATATTTAGTTCCAAGGAATAAATTGACTTCTGTAGAATTATTTTCAAAATGCTGTGGTGAAATAAGTTATAAAATTGGTAGTGATTGGATTCGATGGGGACAACACCTAGGCTTAAGTGATTCAGATCTTGATAACATTGACTATAATAATGCAAAATGTTACGACAAAGCTCGTAATGTTTTAAAAAAATGGAAGGAAAAAAATGGATTACCTTCATGGGAGCAATTGAAAAATGAGCTATTAGCTTTTAACCGTTTAGATATAATAGCTGATATTGAGAGTAAATTTGCAGGTAAAATTAACAATAATGATTTTATAAACTTTTTTTCTTTTTTCTTTTACACTCTAAAAAGTTTTTAATAAACATATCAAAAAGGATGTTTTCAATTTTGAAAAATGTTTGTTTAATTGAAATTCATTTTATAGTTTTCAGGTTTTTCGTTTTAATAAAGAAAAAAAAAAAAAAAAAAAAAAAGTATAAACAAAAACGTTTTTCTTATTATTAGATTACTTGTACAGTCCAGAAGAAATAAGGTAATTGAATGTCTTTGCTATTTGTTTTTATGTTACTTGAATAGTTATTGAAATGTCATATTAAAGCGGTTAATTTTTTGAGATGTTTTTCTTTTGGTAGTTGGTTTATTTATCAAAATGCTTTTCTCTTGTAAAAAAAAAATATTTTCATAACATTTTTTTTATATAATAATGATATTGTTATTTGATAGAAACCCTTAAATTTCAGCAAATGTTCTTTCAGATAAAAGATAACGATAGCATAATGTTTTTAGCGGTTAAGAAATTTAAACTATATTAACTAAAATAAAAACTTATATAAAAAAATAACTTGTGAAAAAATTATACATATAAAGGAATGAAAATAAATAATAAAAATTCATTCAACTCTTTCACACCGAACGGGTCGTTTAAATCTCTGTAATAGAAACAAGGGATCCATAAATTTGAGGACGTTTGTTTTTTGTTGTACTATATTTTAGTTAAATATTTGTGGTCCTAGCAAATTTGTTGATAATTTTTGATATTTTAAAAATTTTTAAGTGCTTGAGAACTTTATTTTTATCTAATTTCTTTACAGAATGCACCACTAATAGTTTTAACGTCTTGATAAGTATTATATTAACTTTTTACAAGGCATAAAGTCAGACTTTTTTTTCTGTAAAAAAAAAAAATAATAATCTATAAGTTAGTGATCTTTGTATCCGCCATCATTAGTATTTCACTTTTTTTAAAAAAAAGAGACACACTCTTTGTTAATTTATCTTTTTGAAAATATATAGTTAGGGGTTATACATAAATATGATGTCTTTTATCCCTAATACATCATTTTCAGTATAGTATGTATATTTTTACTGTTTACATGTATTATATATATAGGTACGAAAGAGTTAAAGCATAATAAATAACATAAAAAACCACATATCTAAAGACTGATGTAATTTTATGAAAGTTATAAATCGGAAAGGGGCTAATGCAGCAATTTTTGAACTGTGAGATAACAAACATCCAGACACGGAACAAACTCAAAAAATTTTTATGTTTATACTTAGGCCAAATAAGGATTCCTAAAAAATTTTATAATTGGAGTCTAAAAACAAAAAACCCATAAATCTTTTGATACAAATGCTTTATTCATGAGAGCAACGATTTGAAAAAAACATTTTTTTGATTTTTCTCAATTGAATTTAAATTTAATGATAAGTATTAAATATTTAAATTATAATTTCTCAGCGTTCAAAAATTATGACCATATAAAGTTTTTTTCCCTGCTCAACTTGATTGAATTACAACTTCTAAATAAATTATTTTTGCATATATTTTGAAGAACAACGTGATATTTCTAAGTAACTAGATTTTCAAAAGATAAAATTTACAATTTAAACTCTTTTATATAAAATTTAAAGTATATGTCATTTAAAAAAAAAAAGACAACCTTTATAACGAATTAATAAATATTGAATTACAAATTATAAAACGGGTAAATAGCTAAAAAATAATAGCAAAAAAACACATAAAACGCAATATCTCTTATGCGCATGTGCGAAATCTTACACTGCTGCTGTGTAGCACAAAAGGGTCAATTAGGATAATTACGCGTAATTTCTGATATTTCTGAGACAAGACTCTAAGGTCAAATGAAATCATCGAGTTACCCTTGATGCTAACCAGCCCCATCCTTCCCTATTCCATCATAGGAGCAGTAGTTGCCTATGATGGCATACTTGTGCTTTTTTTTAAATAAAAATAACCAATAAAAAAAAAAAAGCTGATGAAAACTCCTGGGGTTATTATTGTTCTACATGTAACAAAGAATGTATCCATATCAAAACTTTTGTTCTTGTTCTTCAGGATACTGAATAATGAAGCTTCAAAGTTAAGTATGCCATCATAGGCGCCTTTCCCCTATTTATCAAAAGCTAATTCTATAAATAGTTTTTTCAAATCAGTTTTCATCAATGAAAGTGATTACATCTTACCATAACACCCAATGACACATTACACGCAATGGCACTAAATTTTTGCTGGACAGAATTTTCAGAATGTTCAAAATATATTTGGCTGAACTTAGGCGATATTTCTGTAATTTAAATATAAAATAATTCCATACAAATTGTTAAAATTGGTAAAGTTATAAAAATTGCTTGATAAAACAGATTACAAAAGCTTTTTTATCTTTTAACAGTATAATTTTAAAAAAATAGCACTTTTATCTTTATGTTTACACTTCATATCTCTAAAGTATCAAGTGTTATCAAAAATGTTTAAAGAATAATTTAACCTTTTGATTTTGCGATTAAAATATGTTTAGAAAAATACAACACAAATTTTTTATGAAGTTTTAACTGAAATATTTTAGGAAAATTCAACAAAGTTTTTTAGAAAAATTTAAGTGCAAAGATAAAAACAGTTACTCGTTTTCAGGATACATTATAAATACAATATATATTATATAAAATATATATCAAAAGGAAAAAATAATTATGCACTATTTAGCAGTATTATTTTTAAATTTCTGAGACTGATTTTTGAAATATGATTAAAATCTAAACAAATCGAAACTGATTAAAATCTAAACAATTTTGGAGATCACTTTGAAAGCAAACATGGTGATTCATCGCACTATTGCTGAAAAGCCACAATCATCTTGAGTCAAAGGGTTAAGAGACCTTTTGTCTTTTTTGTTTGTTTTAAATTAAAGTAATACTTCAACCATTTCTTCTCACAATACAAAGTTTTTTGATAATATGTTTTTTGCGTTTAAAATTTTATTTATTAACTATCAATATGTTTCAAAATGAACAAACACTAGTATTACAGAGAGTTTGGTTTTGCTTGTCTCTTTCCTTCCTAGTTTTGCTTTTTTTTTTCATTGACAAATTTCATTAATCTGACTATAAAATTATACCTCAAATCTTGTGGTTCATAGCAATTTTAACTCTAAGGTTAGCATTACTATATTAGTATTCAACAGTTAAATAAGAACAATTTAACCAATGAAGTTGTTAATACTTTAAAAAAAAAGTTAACTTGAAAGTAGTAAATAAGAATAATAAAATTAACATTAAAAAATAACAAAAATAATTATAAAAGTAATAATATTATTATTATTACTATTAATTTGGTAATATTAAAATATTTAATTATAATATCTAGTTTCACCGTTAAAGTTAAATATCTAAAAGTGCATGAAACACATTAACTCATCATGCAGTTGAACATTATTTAAATACTATAGAACTAAAAACAATAAATGAAGACCGCAAAGGAAAAAAACAGCAAAGACAATAAAATAGGTTTAAGAAGGTTATATATACTTTAAATACTGATCATTAAAGAAAGCCTCCATATAGAGCAAAAAACTTAGTAGCAGAAAAGTAAGTTAATTCATTTATTAAAAAAATAAAAAACAATATTTTTATATATTTTCATTTTTTCTATAATTACAAGGCTAAAAAATATAACTGTATAAGACACAAGAATAAATGACTTTGAAAAGTGAATAATATATACTTTCTAAAAACTTTTTAAAAGTGATTATGCCATTTTTCCTGTGTGGTTTACATATATATTTTATTTTTTTCTTTTTTTGAATGTATTTCGCTGTTCATATATAAATAAAACAATAAAATTACAATGAAACTTTTACGTTTCACAAAGAATATTTATAACACAGACAGGGGCTCAAAGAACACAGGGATGACTTGTGTCACCACAATCTTTTCATCGAGCCCTTTTACAATAATATTTAACAATATAATAATTTTTCTGGAAAGTACTACATGAAGAATAAAAACTTATATATACATACATATTCATTTATACATATACACACAAACATATACAAACATACTTACATATATATCAAAAATTAAGGAAATACAACTTCATTTGTTGTTTAAAAGAAAAAAAGCTTTCCAAATTTTTTATATTTTTATTTTATGTTATGTTACTTATATATATTTGTGTAGAAACGAAACTATGGAATTTGATTTATCTAAACAAGCGGGACAAGAATTTAAAAGTGGTGAGATTTTATTTTTGTGTTGTTATTAAAAGAAAAAATAAAAAATAAAAAAATTTTCTAATCAGTTAAAAACAAGGAAAAAGTGATAAAATTTAATGTAAAAAATAAATTTAAGTTTCGTTTTTGTTTACAAATTAAAATTTTTAACTGAAAAGTAAAATTTTATGATCTTCATTCTTTTAGATTTAATGTGGTGCTACTGCTAACAACATTTTTAACATTAGGTTGAATCATAATAGTTTCTTTAATTCAAGTAACTTTTACTTTCTTGCAAAAGCAGCTCTTTTTGCAAATGAAATAACTTTATATTCCATTCTAAACAAAATATCATTACTTTTTGTTTTCCTAGATTAGGTAACCTATAATCAATACTATTATTTTTCTGGGATATCTTGGTGTTTGCAGTTTCAAGTAAATTTTAAGTTTAACAAAACTAAATTTATGCCTAACTTTTTTACTGATTATAATTTATTACAGACCTCTAATGAAAACCCATAATAAAATCTATTGCAAGATTAGCATCTGTTAAGTTGCCTCTCTATTTTATATCTGCCAGTTTTTGTTCTCTAATTCCATTTTCTACCATATCTCCTGATTGTCCTAGTATCAAGCATTGTTATCAAATTTGCGTTTTTTTTTCTGCTTAGAATCTATTTTTTTTAAAAGATTAGGTAGATGAAATAAAGTTATAAATTGATGTTATAGTGATGAGAGCAACCTAACAATAATGGATAGTGGTAATATGACAGAAGGATTAGTTTATGCGACTTTAAATCAAATTAATAATATAATAACAATTTAAGTGTTTCGTTTAAATATTAAAAAACTAAAAAAACTAAAAAAAAAATTAAAAAACAATTTTAATTTTAAATCATTAAAATTGCATGAAATTCAAAATCGCAAAGCATCTTGGTGCTTTAGATGCAACATGATGCTTTGCGAACAGGCTCAAGTTCGGCAATAAGAGCAAGCTTAACAATATTTAAATTCACATCGACATATTATTTTGCATAAGCCACTATCCTATCAATATTAGGTTAAACCTCCTTTTCTATTTGACAAATGTTACCCTGTTTGTAGGTCAAGTGAACTACTATCACTTTCCGTTATTGACACACGTGTTATCTCACACAAAGAAACAAAATGAAAGTAAGTTTCAGCTTTTCTATAAAACAAGCTATGATTTATTTACTTTATATATGTTTTTTGTATTTGTTTTTTTCATAAATTATATTTTTTTAAGTTTTTGTTTTATTAGAATCTTGTGAAGTTTTTGTTTAGTTGAATTATGGGATAATATAGTAGCATTTATTTGTTTATTTTAAGCCCTGAAACAGTCTACACAGACTATATAAATTGTAATTGTATAAAAGTTAAAAATAACAAGTTTAATTTTCAACTTGCATTTAGTAGTAATTTAGACGAAGTTTTTTTTAACCTTAAATAAGATGTTTATTAGAATTTTAACTTTAAATAACTATTAGTTAAAGTCAAAAAAAAAAAAAAATAAAGTTAAACAAAAAGCAAAAGTAATGTTTATGAACGCTGACCTTATTACCAAAACTTAAATAAAGTAAACTTTTATAGGTAAAATATTCTTAAAATTGTGTCTTATGTAAAGCTTTAATATTTTTGAAGTTAAGTACTAAAATTTTGTGAAATTTTCACTAAGTACTTATCAGAAATAGTTTTAAAGTAAAAGCGCAAAATGCAATATTTTATTATTCATTAGTATTTTGGCCAAATTACTTAGTTTTTTTATTTAAAATGTTAATAAAATATTTTTAAACACATTATATTTTTTATTTCAGAATAGTAAATGGCAATAATAATATTATTATTATAAAAATAACAAAAACAATTACAACAATATTATTATTATTATTATTATTATTATTATTATTATTATTATTAATTTTATTAATATTATTAGAATTATTATTAATACTAATATTTTGATACTATTAAAATGTTTAATTATAATATTTAGTTTCACTGTTAAAATTAAATATCTAAAAGCGAATTAATCACATTAACTCATCAATGCAGTTGAACATTATTTAAATACTATAGAACTAAAAACAACAAATATTTTTAAATTGGTATTTGAATTTACTAGGCGTATGAAAAAATCAATTCTGAGATTATTAGTAGAAGTATATATTTTTTTAATGTTATTATAAATATTTAGTTAGTAAGTAAGGATAGTATTTAAAATTTAATACATTTTAATTGTAATAATATTGTATCTACTCTGTATAAAATTTTTAGCAACAATCAGTGCCACGTCTAGTGGGTTGAAGATCCCTCTTTTCCCTGTATACAACCTGTCATTAGACCCCACAAGTCCTAAAAAATTTTCAATTTCAAAAAAAAATTTCAATAGGTATTAAAACAATAATAAAAATAATTAAAAAAAAATGCTAATGGGCCCCCATTTTTAGTCCTCCCCTTTTTAAATTAATTTTTTAACGGTAAAGAACATTTTATAAACTTGTGGCTCCAATCGAATAATATATGAAGATGTAATGATATATAAAAGGCTGCAACAACTTTGTAGCAGAGTAAGCAATTCACTATATAAGATTGATGACTGCTTAGGTTAAACGATTTAAGTAAATATAAAAAGTTAGATATATTAATGACAAAAAATGTTGAGCAAAAGTGTAAGTGGCAGGAAGAAGAAGCCGATGGAACACTTTATACATTAGCAGAAGTTCATCATAAAATGTCAAGATTAAACGGATGAAGTCGCTGCTACACAATCACGTCTATAAAAAAATTTAATTAATATTAAAATCAAACGTTATTTGCTTTTAAAGTATGAATTTATTTATGCTTTTAAGGTATGACTTTTTTTTGACAAATTAAGAATGGTCATTAGTCATCTATTAAAATTTAATTTTTCAATTTCATCAGACAAAGTTTGATGAAGTAGAAAAACCGAATTTTAAACAAGCATCATATATTTTAAATCAAGTTTGTGTAACATTCCTATCAAAAGATCAAGGTATAACGGTTTTTAAAGCTGGAGTTGGAACCTGTTCATAAGCTTATGCAAGTGTTAGTACTTCCTAATAAAATGAATTACTATTTGTTATGGTTAAACTCATGGTTCTTTAACTCAAAAATAACTCCCCACCTCAATTGGTTTTGTTTCATTTGACATATGGTTACATGCAGCATGTAGCTTCTTAAAAATATTAAAAAAAGCAACTGTTACGTTTCTTCATGTTTTTGATCTAGTTCTAACGGAACTAACTTGTATATGTTCTTCTCTTGTATATGTTCTACTCTTGTATATGTTCTACTCTTGTATATGTTCTACTCTTGTATATGTTCTGCTCTTGTATATGTTGTATTCTTGTATATGTTCTACTCTTCCTTATAATAGACAAAACAAAGAAAAACGGAGTTTATGCACCGTCTATAACTTTTAATTATCCATTATAGTTGATAGCAACTAGTATCATCAAAGATGAAGATTTAAATATATTGGGTTAGAGACTAAGTAATTTTGGATTTTACTCATAGATGTCGTTATTTGAATTTTTAGATTTGCAGATTTAATCAAAATGTCAAACACATTTTGTTATTTGATGTTTGGTGCTTCAACTGTCAATCAGTAAAAAAATTTTTTGGATCAGTTGTGTAGTTTTTGTTTGGTGTCTATTAAAAAATAGAAAATCAAAAACGAACAATTTTGTCATACTTTACTTTTTTATTTCTGGAAAAAAAAATGCATAGCACGCTCACAAAAAGCTATGTGTTGTTTATGGTGACGAAGCTTTAATAGGACGGCATTGTCAAAATTGGTTTGCCAAATTTTGTTCTGGTGATTTTTCACATAAAGATAAAAAACGCTCTGGTTGTCCAGTTAAAGTTGATGACAACCAAATCAAAGTAATAATTGATTCGGATCGTCACAGTACAACACGTGAGATTACAGAGAATCTTATTGTTTTACATACGCATTAAAAATTGCTTAAAACAACTTTGCTATGTACAAAAACTTGAAATATATGGGTTCCTCATGAACTAAAAGAAAATCATTTAACACAACACATTAACTTCTGCAATTTGTTAAAAAAACGTAATGAAAATGATCCATTTTTAAAACGATTGATGTTTGGTGATGAAAATTGGGTAGTTTAAAACAATGTCAATTGGAAAAGATTGTGGAGCAAGCTAGGTGAACCAGCTCAAAAAATATCAACAGCTCATATTCATCAAAAGAAAGTTTTGTTATTAGTTTGATGGTATTACCAAGGTATTGTCTATTTTGAACTTTTACCACCCAACCAAACAATCAATTTAGATGTCAACATATAACAACAAACAAAATTGAACAATGCAGTTGTTCAATTTTGTTCAATGCAAAAGCGGCCCGAATTGACAAATCAAAAAGGTATGCATAAATCAAAAATATATGTATTCCATCATGACAATGTAAGGCAATACACATCTTTGGTCACTCGGCAAAAATTGGTTTGGAATGTTTTGCCACATCCACTATATAGTCCTGACCTTGTACCATCTGATTGCTTTTTATTTCAACCTTTGTAAAACTCCTTGAATGGTAAAAATTTCAATAATGATGATGATGTCAAATCATACTTGTTCTGTTTTTGCTGATAATAATAAAAAGTTTTATGAAGGAGGAATTATGATGCTGCCTGAAAGAAGGCAAAATTTTATTTATAAAAATGGGCAATACATTGAAGAATAAAGTTATTTTAAAAAAATACGCATTTACTTAGTTGCCAAACCAATACTTTACAGATCCGGTGGATTTCATTTGCTAATAAGTTTTTATTAATTTCATTGAAAAATTTATGGTTCTGGCTTGAATACCTCTTCCGGAGGTTTATGCAGAGAATATTGTGGCCCACATTATATCAGGAGAAGCGGTCCCTTGAGCTCTACTAGCAAAGTATTTGGCTGTGCAAATAGCTTTAACTAATGTAGTTGTAGTTTATGAAATTTTTTTTTATAAATTTGAAATTATTTATCTAAAAGCTATGTGTAATTCCTATGATAACAATGAACTTATTGAGTTCCATGATGATAATGAGAATTCATTATGAACAGGAGTTATCTCAGTTATTGATAGAGATGAGATAAATTGTGAAAGTGCCGAAATAATAGGTTTTAAGATTAGCAAACTATGAAGAATTTATTGTTTTTAAATGCAAAAATAATATGACGTCATCAAATAAAAACACTCGATTCGTTAATAAACACCGTTAAAATAAGTGTTAAAGTAAGAAAATTACATATTATCAAATTTGACAAGCTGTAAATTTGTTGTACATGGTGGTGTACTATTACATCGTGACATTGGATAAAAGGGATACAACTTGGTTGATTAAAAAAAAAAATACTTAACATATATCAGGAAAAACAACGGAACTTCTATTATAATATTTGATGGCTACAAACAGATAACAACTAAATCAAATGAGCATACAAGAATGTATATTCAATGGTCATAAAGCAACATAAACACAATAGAAACAGTTGTTCTATACTCACAAGAAAATATTTTATCAAACACACACAATAAAAAAGTACTAATTTCATTTTTGGTTAATTTTTTTACAGAAAAATAAGGAAGAAGTGCATGTTTGCCATTGGGATGCTTGACACTAAAACTGTAAAAATATTGTGAGTTATCAAAACATTCTAAAAATAGTCACAGTTGCTGATGACACAGATATTGCTCATTCATTGGAAAATTGAATTATTTGTTAAAATATTTTTACAATAAAATGGTAAAAAATATAGGAGTATCAAGGATTGAATGTAAAATGTTGGAAGCATGAAAGATTATTTACTTTTCATTCATGCTTGGTCTTGATGTGACACAATGCCCACAGTATTTGGAAAAGGAAAAACGTTTTTAATTTAGAGAAAAAATCCTAAAAACTTCAGGTTATTGCGTGGTGTAAAAGTAATTGTCGGGGAAATCAATCTGAGGTTAGTAAAAAATCAATAGGAATATCTGTAGAACTATATGGCGGAAGCAACAATAAAACCGTAACAAAGTTTAGATTAGTTTATTACTATATTTAGTTTATTATTATATAAGTTTGTTATTATGTTTACCAGGGACCCAATTAGATTTTTTGAATTTGTTAGACTTTTAT